AAAGTGAAGGGGGTCTGAATACTTTCTGAATGCACTGTATATGCCAAGACTCAACATGTTAGTCAATCTGATTTGAATGCCTACCTCAACTTTTTAAAACACAGGGTTTGTTAACCATCTCATCGGCAGCAAAACTGATGTCAGCTTAATAGTTCTTACATTATGCAAGGCTGTTTAGTAGCAACTGGGTTCACATATTGTGCAGAGCCATGTTACGTTTTGTTGCTAACAGAAAAAAAATTAGTTTTAATTTCCATAAACCGCCTAGAGTCACTCGTGAGATGACCGGTGACAAATTTGAAATATAAATAAGTAAAATAAAGTTCTTCAAATGTAGATATTAAAAGTGTTCACTCACACTGGAATTAAACCAGTACATTTTGATATTCTTTAATGCTGGGCTGGGGAATCTGGGCACCTTCAGACATTCCAAGACTCCCAATATCCATGACTGTTGGCAGTGTGGGCCAGAGCTGATGGGAACTAGGCTCAACAGCTTCTGGAGATTAACAGACTAGAATGCTTAAACATACACTATAGTTTAGAGAATGCTGTAATGGTTCTTTGGTTATATACTATCTAAGAAAGGCATGCCTATTCCAGCTTTCTCCACTTTCACGTCCTCTAGAAGTTTTGGAACTTCAGTTTCAATTGAGTGGAATTTCTCACTCAATGCTACATTTGACCATATTGCTAGGAATTATGGAAGCTATAGTCCCAACACTTTTTGGAAGGGAAGAGTGTCTTATAATAATGAGTCATCAGTCATCATTATTTACCCATTGAAATCCTAGTTAAATCAGGACAACATCCAAATAGTTTCATGTTGTTTCATGTCATTTTTTTTTCTTTTTGTATATATGCAAGATCATTTTGGCTGATACATATAATTTAGGACTTAATTATTGACTAACGCATATATAAAATTGCTTTGTTAAACAGTTATAAATATGTAGTGTGAATGTTGGAGTCTTTTAAAATTTATTAAAAAGGAAAAACTGAAATATCAC